TGTAAAGCAGGGGTGGATAGTGCCTTCACATGTGGAAACGCCACATCTCCTGGCATGCTTGGCCTGATCCAGTGCCCTGCTCCAGCCCTGGACCTCTGCCAGGTGGAAACTATCCAGAGCTTCTGGGTAGTTGGGGTCCCTGTGCTTCCCTTTTTCTTAGTTGTGAGACTGTCTGGGGAGGCTGATGGGCCTGTAAGAAGATGCTTTGGTTGGTGTCTAGCTTTCTGTCTTAGCAGGATGCCTGGCTTTAATGTTTTCAAGGACAGTAGCTTGGAAGCCTAGTAGAAAGCAAAAGCTTAAGTGCTCTGTCTTCTTGCTCTTCCTTGCAGAGACAGACTGCTCCTACCAGCCCCATACATTGTGTAGACAGTCACTTCTGAAGCCTAGTTGTTTCCAAAGACCTTGAGCCAAAGAGGAGGGTCTTTGGAAGCCTTTCTGCTCAGAGGTGACCTTCACTGCCAGCACCGGCTCCCGCCTCAGCTTGGCAGTGTCGGGAGTCTGGTGTGGTCTCATGAGAAGCTCTGTTGGGAGGTACATAAACTCTGACTTTTTTTTTTTTTCCCAAGACTGCAGCAGGGCCTTTGCACAGTGGCTGATCACACTCAGAAACTCTGCACCTTTTTATGGCAGCAGAGGGAACCAGAAAGCTTAACGGGTCCTTTTGGCTCCTCCAGAAAAGGAAGGAGGGATTTATGTTGTTCTGTAGGCCTTTAAATAAAAATGATAGGAATCCAAATACATTTTCTGACTTGTGCGAAGTGAATGTCTAAACTTGGAGAAGATATTTATGCGTTGCCTGCTATCCTTCAGGTACTCAAATAATTCCTTGAGAGAACGTAAGGGTTAAGGAAAGTGGCAAAGAAGGGCAGATCACTGCAGGAGTAGCAGTACTGTGCTGTGGGAATGTTGCATGATGTCCCTTCTGTTCTTGCACACATGCACTGGACCTCTAAAGACACCTGGAATCAGTATAACATTTCAAGCCAAGACATCTATCTAGAAAAGAAGACATAGACAAGGAGGAATAACTTTGCTTCCCTGAGAAGATGCCATTTGGGCATCAGGATCAATACCTGTTCCTGAATCAGACTCTTCCCTTGCAATGAATCATTAAGTTGCTGGAAAGCATGTGTTCCTGTATGAGGGTATGTATGTTTGCATTGCATGGATCTGAATTTGCCTGAGGTGTAAATGTCTGCATTTGTATTTGACTGCTTTATGTCTACCGTGAGGCTAAAGCACCTAGAATTGCACATGTGTGTGTAAGAGAAAGTAAATCTAGCTGGGATCATTGTGGAAATTAAGAGACCTGATTGACCAACTAAATTGAATTTCAGTTTTGGTTGCTCAGGAACACCGGAGTGAGTAACTTCCATACCCACTTATCTCAGTATGCCCTCAAAATGCAGGTAGCAGATGTTTTAGATCGTGTCTTCAGTGGGGCCAGCTGTTGATATGCCTTGAAGAAAAGCATACAGTTGTTAGTTGCACAGGTTTGTCTAATGATACTCTGCTGCCCACATTTGAAAACGTGGCTCAGCATCTGCCTCCATGGTTTGTAAGGTGTTGATGGTACCTGAGGCATGGTGCTGCTCCGCTGCCTTGCAGGGTGTGTGCTGGTATGGCTTCATTGGGAACAGTCAGACCTGTAGCAAATACAGTCGTCAGCAAGCAGTGAGGGTGTACCATGAATCTGAAGCAATTCTGTCCTTGCAGTATTTCAGTGATGTGCCTGTAATTGCTACTTTAGTCATTGTAGTTGTCTGTTGGGTTTGTGATCTGTAAGAAAATAAGAGGGGAAAGGAATGAATAATGTTCCTGTGATAAAAGCACTTGCTGAATTCATGTGTGGAGTGAGCTCTGGAGGCTCCTTCCTGTCCTCCTCTTCTGTGACCCTGCACCAACTAATCTCCATGGGAATTAAAGTTTCACTCTGTCTTGCCTCTCAAGTAGCAGCTTTGTCTTGAGTCTGGTAGTCCCATGCTTCTGGTTAGGATGGTGCTGGGCAAACTCTGCAGCCGTAGTGACAGCAGGTGATATGGTGCTGCCCTCTGCCACGTTTACTCTTCCCTCATTCTCATCCATAAAATCAGGCTAGGTTGATTTTGAGACTGAAACACAGAGCAGGGGGAAAAAACCTCTTCCATCCATACATAACAGAATATCCCTAGAGCTGTGTAGTCAGAAACCACAGTGTATCTGCCGCATGGCTCTCCTCCCACTCCTTTTGGGGTGCCTGGAGGGAAGCATTGGTTTTGTGCAGTGCCCAGGAAGGTTGCAGCAAATCTGTTCAGTGTTTGAAAGCTTCACCAGACATTGAGACTGGTTACCTATTTTTACCCATGTGTGTGCTGCCGGAAAATAAGAGGGGGTGGGTTCTCAAAGGGGCAGGCATTTCTATGAGTGAATTGTCTTCCCAGCACCCCTCTCTCTTCAGTGTGTAAATAGTGGAAGTGAAAGCAGTGTCAGAGCTAACAGTGGGTGCAGATGACGTATGAAAGTGCTCTCCACTACTTGACAATAACGGGAGCTGCTGTGCATTTAACTGGAAGTGATAGCAGCAGCTGCCTTTCCTGATGCACCCGTAGCAGTGTCCCTTCTGCTGTCATTCCGCTGAGGAACGCTGTGACACGGCCTTTTGCCTGCATTGGTGCTATACACCTTCCTAACGACGTCCAAGGCAGCACTCCCAGGCTCTCCCAGGGAGTGGCTGCTTCACAAGGTTTCTGCTTTACTTCTAAATTTGGATTACGAGGTTTCACTTAAAATCCACAGGCAATGGGAAGTAGTGGGGCTGATTTGGGGTTTTCACCTGAGATGTTACATCCAGCTTGGATGTTCCTCCACCGTCATCACGATGCACCCTTCGAATAGATTGCTTAAACCAAAACCGTGTTGTGTTGGGATGACTAACCTTGTTCCTCTCTGACCAGAGGGGAGGTTGCTGGAGGGACAGTGCCACATACCACACGTGGTGCAGCGTGCTACTCATTATTGCACATGGGCACAGGCAGCCCCATTCCATACATTCTCATTTCTGTTTGTTCCTAATTAGGGGTTATCGTACTGCTGGTGGTCTGTGGTGCTCCCCATGTATCACCTGTATGGTAGGCATCTGCCAGAAGGTGGTGTTTCCTTCAAATTAGATCTAAGCAGCCATGCCCCCACCCCCACTATTCCCCCAAAGTTTCAGACTTCCCTGGCTTGAAGAATGTGAAATGCCTACAGGCATAGCTGTGGAGAATTACAGGTAGCACTTTTGCTCTGAATCCTAACCTGACGCAAAGGAAAGTTGGGAACACCGGGCTGTGCAGTACAATCCTATCAAGAATGAAAAGATGGTTTGAAAATAGAAAGCAAGCTTGAATATACGTGGTGAATTCTGGAAGATGACCTGTAAAGTGCTTTAGAAATAGGGTTGTCCCTTTAACAATATGCAAACAGCAACAGGAAAGGGAGCATTTAGTCGCATACTTTAAAAATTTATTTATTTTTTTAAACCTCTGAAGTCTCCAAAACTACAGCATCAGGCTGTCCCTGCTGTGCTGCAGTGCCCCAGAATGCTCTGATGTCCCTGGTACCCTGCTGGGTGATTGATCTACCCCATACAGGTTCTGTGTGGTGGTGATTGCATATTATGAGATGGCACAGTTTAGCATGGCCTATGATCATACTATTTTATATCCTTTTGAGATAACATATACGGAAATGTTTTTAGAGATTGTGGAAAAACTTTTGCCCTTTCTAAGCAGTATTTTTCCATCCTTCTTTCCAAATGTATCATTTTTCCAGTGAGCAGAGAGGTGAAATGAGTGGAGATGATTGCCTTAGCCATATGGACCAACAAACCAAGTGGATGCACTCCATAGTCTGGTATTTTAATTTTTGAGTTCCTATCAGTTCTGCTGAGAATAGTTAACACTTTAGTTGTTCCTGGTTCTGCTGGTTTGGGATGACATGAAATGTGTACATAGCATTTTGCAGCTTCTAGCTTTTGCAGTTTGGCTTCTGATGGCCGAGTTGCCTCTGTTTTCTCTTAATGTCTTGTCTGTCTCATCCTTCAGCTGCATCTGGGCTGACTCTTGGGTTGTGCAGGGACAGCGGAGGAGCCACAAAACTTACTCTGGTAAATTGGGTCTACTGAGCATGGTCATATGGGTTAGATGTAAACTTTTAAAGTGTATAACATCTGATTAAGCAAATCGCCACCAGTGGAGGAGGTGCAAATGGTCTAGGATGAGTATTTTTGTCTCCTCTTTGTTGAATGGTTGCCCAATGTGTATCATGTAGCAAGTTACTTCAAAACACCATTTCACCATGCAGCTGGTTAAGAGAAATGCACAGTGACCATCTTGAATAAGTCAATGTACTGTCTCTGGAAGATAGTTACAGGCGCAGAGTTATTAAAACTGTATTTCCAGAGACTTGCTATTCCTCTTAGCACTCTGCTTTCCCAGCCCCATGTCCTGCAAGAGCCCCTGGTGTTGACCCTGGAAAATTGCAAAAATTAAGTCAGGGCTGATGGGATGGGGGTACCCTCCTCCTGCAGCTCAGTTGGCGATAGTGCTGGTAGGACAGCCAAGGCTCATTGCCTTTTGAAGGACTGGGCTTTTGCCACCACTGTGCAGAGATTACTTAATAGCATGTAGCCAGTGTCTCCTGATGCATCACCTGGCATCATCTCTAAGCCTTCATCACTGGGCTTTCTGGGAAGGATGCTTGATGTTTGCTCTTGGAGAAGCAGGAGTCCCAGGAACTTCACTGAGAACAGAGATAGGCAGCTAAAAAGAGACATGGGGAGCAGCCCAGCTTTTGATAATCCCTGACTAAGCCATCCGGCACCAGGCTTATCCCCTGAGTTGCTGATACAACAGTTGGAAATAGCCTTTCTGCAATGCCTGGGACTTCCCCAGAAGTCAGGTTAAGGGTAGATGTCCTGCAAATCCACCCCTTCAGCCTTCAATCTGGAAATGCCTGTCATCTCTGAGCAGCAAGAGGGTGGGGAAGAAAAAAAGGTATTTTCACAATGGCTGTGAACTCCATAAAGAATGGGTGAGCCTGAACTTGTTTTTCCATTCCTGTCTTGACAAGGTAAGCTGCCTTTAAAAAATACAAAATGTACAACAGGCATTTATAGTTACTCCTTCAAGAAACAGAAGTGACTGTGGTGTGGGCCTTTTGATTGACAGCTGCTGCAGCAGCCCTGGCCTGGCTTTGAAATCCCCTTTAGCTTGCTGGAGCTATTGAGCAGGTCACTCAGAAGCTGTTGCAAATGTCAGGCATTGGACTTGCAGTCAGTGCATCTCTTCAAGGTCAAGGGCATGATGGTGTGGAGGTCCAGTCCCCTTCCATGTGCATTAGGTGCTGGTTGGGAGGCAGAGGGATGAGTTGGGCGTGATGGGGAGTTCCCTGAAGTGAACATCCCATTATGTTGCAGGGAGCTGTTCCTTGCTGCTGTGTTATTAGGGATGGTTTATTTACAAAGTACCTCTGCAGGCAGGGCAGATAAAAAACCAATTTTGAGGTATGGTGCCAGTGGAGGAACTGTTTGGGTAAGCATCAGGAAGCCTGTACCCTGGCAGCTTGGTCTGATACTTTTTTACTGTAACCTATAGAAATCTTTCTTTCAAGCTGCTTAAGACTTTTCATCGAGTGTACCTTATCCACCCCTTTGCTGCTAAATATTGCTATTTTTCAATTACATGTAAATTGTCTCCACTTCCTCTTCTGTCCCTGAACTATAAACAAATTTCCTCAAAGCCCCTGTGCCTCCTAAACCTGCAGATCCTCTTGATGGCATCTCCCCAGTTGCACCTCTCCCCCTCTCCGAAACCTGCAGCCTTTGGCACGAAGTTATGCCTTTAGGTTGAACGAAGGTTTATTCTTCCTGAGCGTTCCTGTCTCCCTGGCCTGCAGGCTCACTGCATGGTTCCACTCAGTCTTCCCCTGTGTTGGTGCTTCTCCATCACCTGGTGACCTCCTCAGCACTCGTCGCAGTGAAGTGGGTTTTCTTACCAGGCTCTAAGAGGAGGGCTGGAGCTGATGCACATCAGCCCTCTTCCTGTCATCAGCTGCTGTTCTCTACCGTTTGTAAATGTGATTTGATCATGAAATTTGCTTGATAGTTCTGGTCTTTCACTCATTTTTCGTAAAAACACCCCATAACAGTGTTCTTCACATGGTAGCATCTGGAGATCTAGTGGGTCTGTGTAAAGGTTGTGGGTGCTATAGGAGACTGTCTGATCTGAAATGTTAATGCAAAAATTTGCCTGTTTATGAAACTGGTAGAAGAGGAAAATTTTGCATTAAAATCTATACATGTTCAAAATTGCCAACTGGCTAGTTTACCCCCATTTCTGATACATCTGTGTTATTTAAGCTCACAGTAAGCACACTAACAGAAGATGCAGATCTGTGATTCATGTAGGTGACTGAAAATCTCCAGGCATGTTCCCAGTAGTAATGCTGGTCTCCAGCGGAGTCAATGATCTGAATCTGGTTTTGAGTTCATCTGAATCAGTCTTCATAACTGGCTTCCCCCATCCGGCAGCCTGACCGTGCTCAGTGATTTATTTATGGTTTTTCTGGCATGAGTGGTGGTTTGCTTTCCAGGACAAGCCGAGAACGTTGTTATCCCTGTATGCTAAGTTAGAACCTTTCCTAAGAGCTTTAGTTCATACTGTGAAGGGATTGGGTCCCAGGCTGGTCCAGCCTTGGCTTCCAGCTCTGAGCTAAATGCATGGCAGCTTGGTGAATGTTATCCAGATTTACACTGGTGTAGACGAGCATAGACTATGATTTAGGATTTTCCCATTCCCTCTGTTTTCATGGGTTTATTGTTGAAATCATATGTTTCCATGTCTGTTCGTAATCCCATAGGAATAAGTAGTAAAGACTGGTTAATTAATCTAGGATTCGTTCCTTCCAAGACACTTGCATGTTTGGAAGACATTCAGGTTTCTCTGGGCAGAATCATTATTGAACTTTTCTTTTACTCATCATGCTGTTTTATGTTGTGTATTTTATTTCTTCTAATAAAGCAGTTGATTGGAATTTCCTCACTCTGTGTCTTACCCCATCCCTGTGTTGTATTGCTTTTCCACAAAGTGTTTGTCTCCAAACTGCTCATATCTTGCTAGTTCCATATGAGCTTCAAGACTGCTCAACAACAGTTTTATAGTCTTGGTGTATACTTGGTTTCTTTAGATTCCTTCTGTGCATGTCATTTGGTCTGAGTTGTAAAATGCTAGGCTAAATTTATCTCTTGTTTAGCTTCATTGACTTCAGGAGATGTTTGCCATAGAAGGAATTTGACACATTGATTAAATAGATATACTTTCACTTCTTTTTTTTTTTTTTTTTTTTTTTCCCCCCGGCTTATTTAGATGATGAATTTTATCTCCTGCTTAATACTTCTGTGTCCTTTGTACAGAACACATAGGAAATAACTATTGAGTGCTTTATCCGTCTGGATTCTTGTTATGTGATCCCCTGCCTTGTTGAACAATAGACCTATTCTCTCCCCTGTATTTTCCTTTGTTATATTTATAAAAACATATACTTGTTTCCCATTACTCTTTCAAGCTAAAAGCAAAACACAAACCCTACTATTTGTCCCCCTTAACTTTATGCTTTGTAATATTTTACCTTCAGCATATATCCAGACTTCATAACTTCTTTCCTCTCTCATTTCTTTTCTCATTTAAGAAATGAGCTCACTTCATGGCAAGAGCCAAAGGAGCCATTTATTTTGACCCACTTGTTTCTTTCTAGCAATGGAATTGCTTTCACATGTATTTCTTCGATGTTAGCCTTTAGGATATCTCATCCTTTGCATTTTGAAATGCAGGTCACTGTTTTCTCAGTTTTGTTAGTTGAAGATAAATTTGTTTTCCTGAGGAGAGATTGTAAGTCCCTTCCTTAGTACTCGGTTCATGCAAAAGGGCCACCAAGATTTTTCTTCTAGGTTTTTAGTAAACACCTCCCTCCTAGCACCAAATTTAGCATTACCTCATGTCTCATTGCATTCCCTGTTGAAATGTGTTATCGTTACCTTCACAGTTCACAAAGTCCTCTGACCTATATATTACAGAATGGCAGGTCTTTCCCAAGAGCTAGCTCAGCAATTAAAATTTCCCACTGGCACAAATGGTTATGATAATAGGACATCATATATTTATATAGAGAGAAAGTAAGAGAGAAGGAGAGAAAGAGCACTCCTACATTTTTCAAAGCAGTGTACAAACACTAGCTAATTAACCCTAATAACAGCTCTGCAAGGAAATTAAATGTGATTATTCCCATTTTATGGATGGAAAAGCTCAGGAAAGCAGACTAAGTGACATGCCAGAGACCAGCATAGGATGTCATTATTTGATGGGTGGGATGAGATTTGAGGACCAAGAGCCATCCTGGCACAGCCACTGTTCAGTCCAGAAGGCTGCCAAATGCCAGGTGAGATCTTTCCTGAAATCCAGCTGGTTTATACCTCTTATATAGTTTTGAATCATCCCTGCTGTGCTCATTTATTTGAGAGAGTTAAATTGTTAGGTTCAAAGGTTGTCCTTTGCATGGCTTGCATTTGTCACTACCCTGAAGCCAGAAGAGGTGCTTGGTGCTGGAAGTTTATTTTCTATCCATCTTTTCTGGTGGTGAAAACAAGCAGGTTGTGTTGTAGGCACACCAAGGACATCTGCCTGGTTTCAGTGCAGGGAGCTCCAGCACCATTTTCTGTGAAATGCAGTCACTGAGGCTGTTGTCGGAGGCTCTGACGTGCTGAAAAAAAAAGTATAAGTAGTTGAGTAGTGAATTATTATTTAGTTTAATTGACTTTGCTTTTTTTTGTCATCTCATCGCTTCATCCACGGTGGGGGTTGTGTGTCCATCCCAGTCTGTGAATGTAAATTTTGCTTCACTGAAAGCAGTGCTTACCCCATAGCAGCGCAGGGGGCTGTACCCCCTGTAAGCCTGCTCTTAGCACTGCACCTAAGCACTGTGGCAGCACACTGCTTGTTCTTAGAGGCTGAACGAGGGGCTCAACTCATTTAACACCTACCAGTTAGCAGCCCTGTCTGTGCCTTGGTTTATCCGCAGTTTAACAGGGCAGCAGATTAGTGACTCTTCAAGTCTTGCTGCTTTTGTGGAAGCCTCTTTATTATGCAAGGGGAGTTTGAGGTGATGTCCACTCAGATTCAAGTGGGCAGTGCCCTGAGGCTGAGTGTTCGGTGTTTGGATGGTTCTTGGGATTTGAATGTAGGATTTGGATTTGGTCTTCCTAATGAAATAAAGTGTGAAATCCAGTTGCACTTTCTTAAACTTTTCTCACCTTGCCTGTGAATTCTGGGTTTTGAGAACTGGACGGAAGTGTTGTATCGTGTTATCAGCAGCTATTTTTAACCTGTGCAAGCAGCACAGTAGATAACCTGTACGCTTTGCAACCATTCCTGGAATGTAAGTCTTTCAAATAACCTTCATTTCAAAGAGCATGTGCAGAATCAGATGCAGAGGTCACAGGCATTTTAGAAAAAAATGGCGGAGTTCTGAATGCTGTTTGAACACCCGAAAGTGGGATAGTATGGTGTTTACTCTTTCATTATCCATTGCTGGCAATAGCAAAAGACTTCTCCCTGGGGACTTGTCCTGGTGAGGGCACAGCAGGAACATTTGAATTGAAAATGGTTGTGCTGTGGATGAGTTTTTCTGTGCTTAATGGAAACTATAGCAGGGAACTGGTGGAAACAAAAACTATCTCTTTCTCTGTGATGTCACTATCATAACTTACCATGTAATGCAGTCCAGTTTATCTCTAGTTGACCTTCCACCCAGAAAACAGGGAAGCAGTGCAAAGCTATGCTGGGTGATGAAGGGCTCTTACTCATTGTCCCACCCCTCTGCACAATAGAAATGCTTTTTCAGCAGCAGGCATCTGCAAAACCTGAAATCCCTCCTAAAATGAACGCTTCCCCCATGCCCGGGACCTGAACGCGTGTGTGGCCGCCAGTGCTGGGACGTGCCCAGGGGCTTCCCTTGGTTCCTGCCTTCAGTGGGAACCCATCTTGCTGCCTTGTGAGCCAGCGAAGCTTTGTTATTCC